TCACTCTGCTAACGGGACCACGCTGATAACAGGATCACTCTGCTAACGGGACCACGCTGCTAACGGGACCACGCTGCTAACAGGACCACGCTGCTAACAGGACCACGCTGCTAACGGGATCACTCTGCTAACGGGACCACGCTGATAACAGGATCACTCTGCTAACAGGACCACTCTGCTAACAGGACCACGCTGCTAACGGGACCACGCTGCTAACAGGACCACTCTGCTAACAGGACCACGCTGCTAACAGGACCACGCTGCTAACAGGATCACTCTGCTAACAGGACCACGCTGATAACAGGATCACTCTGCTAACAGGACCACTCTGCTAACAGGACCACGCTGCTAACAGGACCACGCTGCTAACAGGACCACGCTGATAACAGGATCACTCTGCTAACAGGACCACGCTGCTAACGGGATCACTCTGCTAACGGGACCACGCTGATAACAGGATCACTCTGCTAACAGGACCAAGCTGATAACGGGACCACTCTGCTAACAGGACCACTCTGCTAACAGGACCACTCTGCTAACAGGACCACTCTGCTGTAGAAGCTGCATTTCTTTTTCACTTTTGGTGCTTTGTTTTGTACTTTTGTTGAAAGCTTTGGTATTTCTTGTTTTTGTTTGTTTGTTTTGGCGAGTCGAGACAGTTCTTCTCGTCCTGAGCATTTCATTGCGTTGTTGCCCTTTTGTTGATTTGCACATGACAACAAACCTAAACCTAATACCCAGGCCCGACAACATCAAAATGTGGGTGGGAAAGGTGAAACACCCCCGCCTGCCCCACCTTGGGCCCTTGAGCAAGGCCCTAACCCCCACCATCTGCTCCCCTGGGCGCCCCAGATAGCAGCTCTCTGCTCCACACAGAGGCTGTGGTAGCTCGGTGTCTGTGGTTGTGTCAGGAAGAACATCCGGCATAAAAATAATCACCAAGTCTTCGTGTGAGTTACTTCACTGCGGCGACGCCTGAAGAAGGAGCAGCCGAAAGAAGAAAAAACAACTTTTAAGTAAAATCAAAACTAGAAAGCAGAGTTTCCTTAAATGATGGGAGAAGCCAGTTTACATATAAATATGGCGGTGTCATTTTGGATTTTGAAACATTTCTTGCACCTAGATGTAGCCACACACCAAAATGGAAGTTGGTACCTCACGTTTTTGGAGGTATCTTGCTCACAGCATTAACTGATGGAGAGGATTTACATTCCCCTCTCTTCTCTCTGCGACAGAAATCAACTTCAGGCTGCCGAGAACCTCGGAGTGATCGACTCACGGTGTTTGTGTTTATGATTCTGGCTGATTGGAGGCGGCGAGGTTTCATAACAGTTAAAAATAACTTGGGCACATGCGGATATCTGCTGTTAAACATGCACAGGTCTGAAGCTCCCACTGCGCTCAGAAAGTTTCCGCACGAATCTTACCGTGCCATCCTCCATCATCCGCAGACACGAGCCAAAGTCCGCGAGCCGAATGTGACCGTTGACATCCAGCAGGACGTTGTCTGGTTTTATGTCCCTGGAAAACAACATTAGCATATCTGTTAGCTAACATCATCGTGACAGCTGTGAAGAAAACAATCGGCGCTCTGTCCAACGACTCCTGGAGCTTTCTGTTGAACACACAGACAAACAGCTGCATTTCAGCTGAAAGTGCCACAAACGCATCAGAAGGAGGATTCAACAGAAATTAGAACATTTTGTTTTAAATAAAGTTGAGTTTGAACAGCAGCAATTTAACATCCTGCAGCTTCAGGAAGGAAGGTGAAGGCCTGAACAGGACGTGACTACAACTCCCAGAGGACACTGCTGCCGAGAACAAAACACTTCCTGTCTCTGGCACAAAATCTCCAAGAAAATGGCCGCATGGCTCAGCTGCAGCGTCTGTGCTGTTGTTATCATGACAACAAGAGGGTTGGTAACTGTTTGAATGCGAACACCTGAGCGCACCTGTGGATGTAGTTCTGCTGGTGGATGGAGTGGACGGCCAGCACCATCTCTGCCACGTAGAACTTGGACATGTCTTCAGGAAGTCGATCCTCAAACTTGCTGAGCAGCGTCAGCAGGTCCCCGCCCACGTAGTAGTCCATCACCAGGTACTGCAGGACAAACACGTAAGCACGACGCCTCGGGACCGAGACAATCAGAGTTCTGCTGAACGTGGTACCAACCAGGTGGTTGTCGTCCTGGAAGGCGTAGTGCAGAGTTGTGATCCACTGACTGTCTCCTTTCACCAGGACGTCACGCTCTTCTCTAAAACACGCCGTCTGCGCAGAAAACGACACGCCGACATCACAGCTGCACAGTGACATCACAGCTGCACGCCGACAT